TGGCTGACGTGTGTTCATTGATTTGTAATTACATTTCAGTACACAATATAACTCACAAACACTTGATATGAGATTCAATGCATACGAGAGTACACTATGGCTGACGTGTGTTCATTGAATGTGAGACAAAATAATTACAAAAAATGTTGTCCCAATGCATACAAAGTACACAATAAAATAAATACTCAATTAGGCCTGCGCGTGATACATCTACATTGGTTATCTCGGTGGCTAACGTTTGACTCTGAATGTGAAAACAATTACAAAAAATCCTGCCACTACATACAACGTATACAAAACGATTAGTACTGTTTAGCCTATGAACAAAAACTCACGTATCGCGTTGAGTGGCAAGGATTTTATATAAAATCAAGTATTAATCATACTTACAATTAACTTATATCATCGAAAAATTCTAAATATTTAAAACTTTTTAATTTTGAGGCATTTCTGAAATTTTTTTTAGCTGGTGCTTGTCATTGATTTTTAAATAAATGTTGAACACAACATTCATATAAATCCTGCCACATTATACGTTAAGGCTTAAAAAGATTAATAGTTTTACTATTGTGCATATTAATTTTGGCTTCTTATAATTATCACCAATAATGTTTATTTTTGTTTTAATAATTTGTTTAAAACTGTAAATAAATTCTAAATAAAAACCTGTTGACAAATAAATTACAAATTTCATTATTTTTGGTCAACTATGGTCAACATATTGATGCAACGTGATTAATATTTTTATTGATGATAAATAATTAAAACAATTTAATTATGTTAGTTTAAAATTTGTTGCATTACAAAAACTAATAAACATGGTAATTATTGTATCTCAATTGGCATAAAATTATTATTTATTTATTATTTATTTGTTTGTTTATTTATTTATTACTTATTATTTGTTTATTACTTATTATTTATTTATTATTTATATAATATAAAGATTTACTTGCTAAATAAAAATTAATTAATGACAATTGTAAAACAATTTGTCAATATTTAAATCATATTAAATTGAACTCAATAGTATTTAAAATTACACGACAATTAAATGTAATTATAATAAATTCAAAATATATTATGAACGTAAAATTGTAAAATAATTAATTGTATTGATTATAATGTGTTTTCATACAACTTATGAAACAAAACAAATATTATGTTTGACTACAATTAAAAATACACAAAAATATTACACAAAATCACTGAATAAATTATTAAAATAACATAAACTTAAAAATTATCTAGCTCAATTTACTAAACCGAGCTCGGTCATTTTGTAGAGCATATCATTGGCCACTTTTAGTTTGGCCACTTTGCATAGTGTGACCACCTGTGCTTTATTTCAGAGAACAGTTTTCTATTTGGACTTGTATTTTAAATTTAAAATAAATAATAGAAATGTTACGAAATTTATTACTCATTTATTTATTTATATATAAACTTTTTAAAGGAATTGACATTTTTTTGATTAATAAATGCCATTTTTAAATACAACTAACACAATAAATGTTACTTTAACATTGGTATTAAATAATCCCGATTTTTAAATTTATAAGAAAAATTAATGTAAAATATGTGTTTTCTATTTGTTCTCTATTTTAAAGGGAATTTGGTCAAATGTTCTTTATTTTTAAACCTAGAGGTGGTCACGCTATTCACAGGTCGCATTCATGTCGCACTAATGCATTAAAACTAATGTAAAGTCTATGGGTGTACATAGGCAAAGCCTACTTTTGGCAGACACTGATCTAGACAATTATTCTACAACTTTTTAATATAATAAAAATTTAACACATTTTTTTAGTTATTATGGTGTCAATGTATTATTGGTCATTAAACTGTCTCAATGTGTTTTAAAACAAATAAAAGTTATTTTTAAAAGTAGTGAATTATTAAGCATTGTGAATTGTTACTTCACAGAGATCACTTTGATAGAAGCTACTCGGCGTTATATCGTTGCACTTTTGTAATAATACTAATGTCGACGTGTCTTACGGATAGACTGACCAGATGGGTTTTGCTAAATTCTGGATTTTGATCAAAATTCTAATAATATTCCTGGACAAATTCTGGACAAAAAGTGGTCTAAAACTTGACTAATTCTGGACAGGTTTTTAAGCAATAATAAAATATTTTATTCATGTTATTAAGAGAATTTTAGTTTATTTGTGCCTGTACATTTTATATTTTTACATTAACTTATTTGATTTAAGATATTTAACAATTACATATTTAACAAAAACACGATAAACTTGCTAAATTTTGCTTAAAAACATTTACATTCATTGCTATCATTCACACGTGAAAACAATTAACTTTATGTATAACTTATGCTTATTAAATAATACATTCAATTAAGTTATTTAAAAATATTGTACACAATTCGTATTATTGATAGTATTGGGAATTGATAATAAGTATTGGTATATCGATAAACTTCCATTAACAAATATATTTTTACAACATAGCACTTTATATGCAAACGAATTTTATATTGATTATTTTAAAATGTAATTGGTTATGTATTGAACAAGTATTTTGGCAGTACGTTATAAACAATTAACTTCAATAAAAGCACTGCTAACAAATACTGTATGCGGTTTACAGAAAGTAGTAAAAAATAATAAAAATTTTCATTTGAGAATTCCTGGACATTATAATGTAAAGATTTACCCCCGCCCTGGACACTGGACAGAGACCTTCATTCCGGGACAATCCAGGCCATTTCTGGACATCTGGTCAGTCTACTTACGGATAGTGTTGTTTGTGAATAAGATTTGAATTGATTTTAATTATAATTATTTTAATGAATTAATCAAGAAAGAAAAATGTGATTCACAAAGATTATGAGCATATGGTTAATAATTATAAATTTAATAATTAATACAATCAGTGATAAGAAACAAACATAGATTTTGATTTTGCTGTACTGTATTTCAGATATTATTCTTATAGTTTATTGTTTTAATAAGTTTAATTATTGCCATAATTTTATACTAAATTATCAGATATATCAGATAACATGATCTTATTATAATATCAATATTACATAGTATTAACAAAAATTTAACAAATATTATAATCATAATTAGAAGACTCAAAGAAAATGCAATGAATTTTTATAAAAATATCAAGGAACCACATTATTCAATTCTGAATTGAGGTTATAAATTATTTTTGTTATATTCTTTCATAGAAACAATGACCTTTAAATATATTATTTTTGAAACATTTGGCATAGTGTTGCTATATATATTGCTAACAAAGTAATTTTAAAGTCATTTTAGTATAATGTATTAAATTTGTTTTTATGGCTAACCATATTGAACTTATATGCAGTTAATAAACGATATTTTTGTAACGACATAAGTTATTTTTAACCACAATTTGGTATAAAGAATGTGGTTTATAGGATCGTGAGACACTCTCCCTCCCCTCCCACTCCTCCCATTACAAATTTTAGCGACTCTATTAGTTTAATTATTAAATTTTTAATTAACATTTAAAATTCATCAATTATTTGCCAAAATGGCCACATTTTAACGCATAAAACACTAATATCTTATCGGATTTAAAATATTTCTTATAATTTAAAAGTCATTAAGAAAACAATAAAATTGAAATATATCGACCGCTCTATTATACCAAATGTTATTTTATTCTGTAAGTTAATTTAAATTATAATAATCTTTAATAATTTGCGCGCATTTATAGCCAACAGTTATGGCTGCGGCGGCGGTATTGCCGTTGGGTATAACCGGGAAAACAGAGGCGTCGCAAATCCTCAGGTTCTTCGCCCCCTTAACCCTCAACTGGGGGTCGACCACAACGTCCGGCCTCTCAACTGCGCCCATACGACAACTGCCCGACGGATGATACGATGTCCCGCTTTTGTATGTAATAAAACACTTTAAACCCTCAGCGCATTCATACAAATACTGTTTGTCCGGACAGTCGGGACACCCGATGGCCGAGAATGGGGGCAACGGTTGAATATAGTGAGCCAGTTGTGAGCGCTCGAGCATATGAAATGCGGACTTGACTGCATCGACCATATTTTCCATGTCTACGGGTGTTGCTAACCATGCTGGATTTATTATAGGTGGCAACAGGGGGTCCGCCTCTCTCAGCCGTATTGAACCGTGGCTATTAATTTTGTTTAATTGAATGCCCACGTGAACTGTAATGTTAGTTAAACTAATGGCAAAATACACGTTTGGCCATTGTTTGTTCATGTTCAATCGGGTACTAAAATACAGTAGTACTCTTGTAGGAGGCCAAAGTGGTCCCGTGTGATCATAATAAAGCTGGCTCAATTGATGGACATCCAATTGGGCTAATTCCGAACCCATATGATAATAATTTTGTTTTAATTGTGCCGACATCTGAACGTTGGGATGGTTTTGGTAATTATCGCCAACCGGTAAGTCCAACACTAACCCTATGTTAAGACTTTTCAAATGTTTAGCCGGACCCACACCTGACAGCATTAACAACTGCGGGCTATTAATTGCTCCTAAAATGATGGTAAAAGAAATTAAAATATAGTAAAATAACGTATTATTGTTTTTATAATTATATACCGCCGGAAATAATGACTTCTCTATCGGCGTAAACCGTATACGAAATGTAATTATATGTAAACTCGACGCCAATTGCTGTCAATTCATTGAACAACACTTTTGTAACCAAAGCGTTGCACACAATATGCAGATTATCCGGATGTGGGTTCGGGTCAACAAATGGATTACCCGTTCCCGTCCTCAGTCCCGACGAGTTTGTGTAATATTGCAATAAATCATATCCGGCCTGATTTGGACCATTGATATCAGTCTTATTATATCCCAATTGATGTAATGTATTCGTAATGACCGTGGTGAATCTATCAACATTCCTTGTGGATGATATCTGAATGGGACCGTGTACTCCGTGATAGTCGGGTGCCTCGCGTACAACGCGTGGATCCGTATTGTTCTCCCACTCCGTGAACACCGGCAACAAATCGCTGTAACTCCAGCCACGGGCGCCGTAAGTGTGGGCCCACTCGTCATAACCGCGACGATTACCCCGAACGAAAAACATGGAGTTATGCGCAGTACTGCCGCCCAGTGTTTTACCGATTGGTTCGGGCACTCGTCCCCCGGCGTACTGCTGACCATAACCATCGACGGGTTGGTCGAAATAAATCCAATTATATATCGGATTGTTTATAGTAAGCAAACCAGGTACATCGTTATATATGGCACTTTGCGCACCGCCCGCCTCCAGCAGTAGCACCCGCACCGACGCATTAGCGCTGAGCTTATTGGCCACCACAGCGCCGGCACCCCCTCCGCCCACGACTATGAAATCATAGCTCGACTCCCATTGAGTGCGACCACAAGTGGTGTCGTGAATGACCTGTCGTCGGGCTGTAATCCACGCGACGGCAAACAAACTGTACGCAAACGGAGATATGATTGACATTCAATTGTTGTTAACACAGATATAATAATTTTATAGTTAATTCATTGCATAGAAAATATATTTTAAAGTATTTCAAATTAAATACATAAAATATATTGTTTAAAAGCAAAATATAATATTATCCTAACAGATCATATACTTATTGGATTTATGTTCAGTTAATACAGCTTGATTTTTCCAGATGTCTAAATTAATTCCAGGTTATGGGAGCGTCTGAGTTAAGGATATTAATTAAAATCGTACACTGTTCAAATACTTATTTGGGAGTCATAAAATATTTTAAAACCAATAAAATTTAAAATGATTTTCAGCTTGGAAGGTACGTGAGTAGCGTGACCACCTATGCTCTATTTCAGAGAACAGTTCTCTATTTGGACTGTATTTGGACAAAATAGAGAACTGTTCTTTATTTAAAATTTAAAATAAATGATAGAAATGTTACTAAATTTATTAAATATTTATTGATCTATACAATAATAAACTTTTTAAAAAAATTGACACTTTCTTGATTAATAATTGCTATTTTTTAATACAACTAACACAATAAATGTTACTTCAACATTGGTATTTTTGATTTTTAAATTTAGAAGAAAAATTAACGTAAAATATGTGTTCTCTATTTGTTCTCTATTTTAAAGGGAATTTGGTCAAATGTTCTCTATTTTTAAACCTAGAGGTGGTCACGCTATTCACAGGTCGCATTCATGTCGCACTAATGCATTAAAACTAATGTAAAGACTCTAGGTGTATATAGGCAAAGCCTACTTTTGGCAGACACTGATCTAGACAAATATCCTACAACTTTTTAATATATCTACTTAAAATTATTTTAAAACAATAATAAAAATTTAACACCTTTTTTTAGTTATTAGGGTGTCAATGTATTATTGGTCATTAAACTGTCTCAATGTGTTTTAAAACAAATAATAATTTGGTCAAATGTTCTCTATTTTTAAACCTAGAGGTGGTCAAGCTAACTTTGCAAGTGAAACCAATGCCAGTGCCGGCCAGCACAGTTTTGCTATCTGTCTCGTCAACATCAGCCCCTCCACCCCCTGTGTCTCCCTTATCATTGAGTAACTCTATGTGACATTTGTTGGCAAACATGCCCTCCCTATATGTAGTGTCATAGAAGAGTAGGGCAGCGCCAACTTTGGTCCAGTGCTACTGAAGCAACTGTACCGGTGTTTTACTGTCTTCCTGAACGCTGTGGTAGGGGTGGCACCGGTTGTAAGGGTGGTGAGTGTGAAATTGCCGTCAGTTTTGCCATGACCATTTTTTGTTTTAATGCTGCCATTGGTTGAGCTGTGATGGCTTTGATTATTACGGTCCGGTGTGGACCGCTGGCCGTCACCGTTAATATAGGGATGGGTGCCATTGGAAACCAGCCACGAAGCCCTGTTATCATGCGCTATAACTTCCATATCAAATGGTGACCAGGCCAGCATGGCCCAGGCCTTTATTTAGAATATTTTGATATTTTTAAATAAAGTAAACCAATTAAACAAAGAATCTGTAAATAAATTAATTATACTATTGATTAAAATTAAAGTCTATGACAATCTATACTGACTTTATATCCTTGAAATCTATTGATACGAAATAATTTCCAACAATAAAATCCAACCCTATTTTGACGCAACCTTTCAATTATTGTTAATAACTATACAATAAATTAAATAAAATGTTTTAGATTGTAATATAAATAAATTAAAATATACCTTAAATTTTATATATAATTTATTCCGACAGTTAATTAAACTTGAATTCAAACAAATATACGATATGTTTGTTTGCGTGCAAATCATTGATGAAAATTGTATTATAAATAATAGGGTTAATAGGAATTCAATTGTTGTGAATATCATAAGAAATTTCATAAAATACTGTATATTACTATTCAATGATAGGAATGTTAAACAACTCAATAAACCGCTAATTAATAGCCAATAAATTGCCAAAAACTTTGACCAATAATTATTGTTATATTCATTAATTTCAATAAACAATTGATTCAATTTAGGCATAATTTGTATTGAGTTTTTGAATTTCTTTTTAAAATTATTTTTAATAATTAATTCATTAATTGACATATATTTTAACGATAAATAATAGACAATAATTGAATAATAAATTAATTGCCAAACAATTACATTGTTTACAAAGTTGCCGTAAAAAGTATTCAAAAAACATTGAGGTATTCCTATAAATATTAACTCATAGACTGACATATGGATAGAGTATATAATAAAATAACTAATAAACACTAGTATTTTAAACAAAATTGTCATTATTTTCGCAAATTTAATAGCCCTTCGACTAAATGAAATTAATTTATAAACCATTGTTTTACCATAAATACCCACATCAATGGGCGTTATTAAACCGGAAAGCATTTCAAATACAAGTAAATCATTAGGCTTTACATTACGTTTATAATGATAAAAATTGAGCATGTGTGTTAATATCGCAATTCCCATTACAGTTAAATACATAATTATTGATGACATATTTTGACCAAAAATAAACAGAGTTGATCCCATCATAGCGTTAAAGTGAGCACCTGGTTCATTTATTATGATTAATATTAATTCTCGCCACAAACATATTATTAATGTTACAAACATTACGTATGGATTATTAATGGGACGCCTATTGACTGCGTTCACCGGTTTGTATAGCGAGAGACCGAAACTATAGGGATGAGTACCGGCGCGGGTTATGACCAGACAATCGGGTAAAACTTTATCAGTTTTGATGACAAAGTTATACTCAACCATTTTGAGTGAATGATGCTTATGATACTTTCTATTACATTTTTGTTGAAATTAATATGTTTATTATATATTGAACATTAATATACTAATACTAATAATAATATGTATAAAAATAAGACAATTATAATTAATAACTTTTGTACTAAAAATAATACAAATAATTATAATTTTCACCATAATGACAGCAAAATTTATTAATATTATTTTTGTTTTATATAATATGTCTTTAAACATAATGTTAGATATGCCTTATTATGTTATCAGTGATAACTTATCACATTATCTAGTTCATTAAATGTAATGTCAAATATAATAAAATAATACCATTATGGTAATTATTACTATATTCGTTATATTTTTGTTTTATGCAATTTATTTTATGTTTTGTCAAACACAATAAAATGTCATTAGAGTCACTCACCAAGTAACTAAAACTTAGTAAGATAATCAAAAACTATTTAATAATTTATAAATAAAATTTATCTAGTAGATTAATAGTTTTATTTTTGTACATATTGATTTTGGGTTCTTATAATTTTTACCAATAATGTTTATTTTTGTTTAATAACTGTAAATAAATTCTAAATAAAAACGTGTTGACAAATAAGTTGCAATTTTCATTATTCTTGGTCAACTAGTTTGCACTATAATATTTAGTGTTATATTCAAGCATCAATAACCAAGATACTATATATTTTTAGAAAACAAACTCGTGATTAATATTTTTTATTGATTATAAATAATAATAATTAAAAACAATTTAATTATGTTAGTTTAAAATTTGTTGCATTACAAAAACTAATAAACATGATATGTATTGTATCACAATTGGCATTAAATAATGTTTTAGAATATAATATAATAATTAATTATAATATAAAGATTATTTTTCTAAATAAAAATTAATTAATGATAATTGTAAAACAATTTGTCAATATTTAAATCATATTGAATTGAACTCAATAGTATTTAAAATTACACAATTAAATGTAATTATAATAATTATAATAAATTAAAAATTAATTGTAAACTTAAAATTGTAAAATAATTAATTGTATTGATTATAATGTGTTTCCATACAACTTATTAAACAAATATTATGTTTGACTACAATTTAAAAAAACACAAAACATTACACTACATTACTGAATAAATAATTAAAATAAAATAGATTAAAAATAAATTAAACAATCATTTAGCTCAATTCACCAAACCGAGCTCGGTCATTTGGGCGGAGCACATCATCGGTCAGCTTTTAGTTTGGCCTCTTTGCAAGTGAGACCACTGCCTGCGCCGGTCAGCACAGTCTTGCCACCGGTCTCGTCAACACCACCCCCTCCACCTCTTAGTGTCTCCCTTATCATTAGGTAACTCTATGTGATACTAGTGGGCAAACATGGCCACTCTATATCTAGTGTCATAGAAGGGTAGGGCAGCGCACACTTTGACCAAGTACTCACGACGCAACTGTACAGGCGTTTTTCTGTCTTTCTGATCGCTGCGGTAGGGGTCGCACTGGTAGTAAGGGTGATGGGTGTGAAGTTGCCGTCAGTTTTACCATGACCAATTTTTGTGTCATCATTTATACAATCATCACTGCCATCGCTTGAGCTATGAGAGTCGCTGTCGGGTGTGGACCGGCGGCGAACACCGTTTAGCTGCTGGTTGGTGTCATCGGCGGCGGCACCGGTAGTAGTGTTGTTATCATTGTTTGTTTGGTTAATGTCTGCCGTAATAATAGTTGCGTTGTTTGAGTAATCATTATTGCCATTAGGTTTTGACTCGTAATTT